CTTTCCCCGCTCTCCAAGGAGACGCTGGCGGGGCTGTGGCGACGGCCGCGCGTTTGCCTGAGGCGCCTCGAGCAGAGCCCGCCTACCGCCCCGCACCCCCCGCTGCCCCGGGCTTTGGCGCGGGGAAGGAGCGGGCTTTCCGCGGGCCTCCTGACCGCCCCCGGCCCTGGGAGCGCTTCTCCCGCCTCACGGGACAGCCGCGGGGGGATCACTCGATCCGCCGACCCCGTTGGCGGCGACGAGACCCGCCGGGCCTGGGCTCGGCGCCCCGCCGTGGAAGCGGACCAGGTGGGGACGGCAGCCTCCGGGGTGCCGGGAAGGGCTGAGGTGCGCGGCTGGGCCCTGACTCTGCAGGCCGGCAGTGCCGGGCATCTCTCCCTCGGTCCGGGCGTTGGAGTTCGCAGTTCTAGCGCGTTGTTCGTGTGAGGGCTGTCCGGTGCAACAGGAGAGGACTTGCTCCGATGTCTGCTCCTATTTGGTGATATTGTATGGTTGGCAGTACTCTGTAGGCATTTAATGAGTTAACGCTACATTAATCCTCAGTGAGGAGTGCATTTCTTAAAAAGCTAAACTTAAAGAAATATTTGATCCTGTTTTCAGTCTTTATGACTCTATGATGGCTTTTTACAACTTTTTGTTTTCCAGTTAATTTTTAATTTTCAGAAGTTCCTATGTGCAGGATTAAGTGCTTTTCAGAGCTCTTGCAGTTCATGTGAATGCTATAGGAAAAAAAATGTCAAAACCAACTTCGCTGTAGGAAAAAAAAGCCTTTAAAAATATATATCTTTGGTTTGTTAGCATGTTTTGTAGTGATACTTCTCAGTAATTTGCATATTGCTGTTACATGTACAAAATATGTTTTGGCTACAATCTTACACGTTTTAACTATAATCTTACATGTTTTCTCATTATTTCTGTAGAAAATATACTTAAAAGTTTGTGGGTTTTTTTTCCCCAAGTCCCTAGTAAATGTTGTAAGGCCGTATGCACATGCTCAAGTAGAGCTTTTATACAAATTCTATAATATGCAAGAAGCTGAGATTGGTGATGGGTTGCTGGATGCAGAAATAGTGTAATGGGAGGATACCAAAGCTTTTATAAGAGGATTTTTTCTGGAAATAGCTGGTAGAATGAAAAGTTAGAAAAAATACAAAGTAGTGAAGTGTGTGGGGGGAGGTGAAAAACATGTGTGAGAGTTTCATCTCTAAGAAAAAAGCTGGCTGAACCTCTTTGTGTTTTTGTAACTGAGTTGAAGGGATAAAATATCAGCATAGCTCTGTGTTCTTAAGCTCACTTGAATATAACTTGAATATAACTCATCTGGAAATATCAAAGACACTAATATGAATTTTTAGAAACTTGCTTTCTGGGAAGGGCACAGTTCTGTTAGAACACTTTAAAATCCACTTGCTGGAATTAATCAGGATATTGTTATTTCTGAGCTGTATTTGTTAGGGTATATTGGCATATGCCTAGTGTCCTTGTTTGAGAATATTATTCAGAATATTCCGTCTATGGCAGTGAGTTTACTTCAGAGGTAATCAGAGACTCCTACGGCAAAAATAGTTGAAAATAGATTTTGTGAAAGTTTTAAATGGAACAAATGTGAAGAGTTACTTGTATTATGTAAAGATGAATACTGCCCCTTCTTGTTTTTACAGTGGAAGGTCGGGGAAAGCTTCTTTTGCTATGGTTTTAGTAGAATTATCTAACATGATGATGAGGAAACAGCTTACTGAATTGGACTGTAAACCCAGATGGCCTCTAATCTTGTTGAGATGAACTCATTATGCTTAGTGGCATAGGTCAGGATAGAGTGCTCATTGAAATGTTGGGTCTTGCACATCTACAAAGCTGAACAGTTTATCTGTAACTGAAGAAAGTTCTTGCAAAACATAGCTGTTTTCTAAAACAAGCTAAACTGATAACTATGCGTTTGTTTTAAATGCTTGTCAAATTTACCTTGAGTTGGCAGGAGAGCTGCCCTGTGAACTTTTCATAGGAAAGGGTATTGTGTTCTTATTTTCTAAATAAGTCTGACAGTTCACCTGGGTGAAAGTTGCACAGAAGGTGTGGTTTTGCAGTTGATCTGCCTGGGTTTCACTCCTCCTGATGACATGGCTTTTATTTGCCTTCCTTGAGCCTACAGATAATTCTTGTATAGTTATCAGGTTAGCCAGTTTAGGGAGCTTGTCCAGTTGAGAACTCATCTGTTTGTTTTTTTTTTTTTTTTTCATTTCAGTTTTGTTTGTTGGCTAGCTAGTTTATAGATGGTACCCTCTGATTGCATGGCCTAGTGGACACTTCTGTTGGGACGAAGAAGGGAGTATGAATGAATGGGCAAGGACAGTAGGGCACAGATCTGCCAGTTTCCAAAGTAGCAAGCACTTAATTATACCTGTGTTATGATTCTGATTGTGAGATGCAGAAGCTGAATTACTCCGAACTGTGTTAATGTGACTTAGGTTGGTACATTGCTGAGTGGAGGTGTGGTTATGGTATAATGAGCGTACCTGATCCCATTTCCTTAATGGTATAGTAATAGGCTGTGTTTGCATAAAAATACTGCTTTGTGCAAGTGCATCTACTAGAAGGGCTGTACTGTGTGATTTTGAATACTATACCGAAGTGAGAGAGGTGTACTAGTACAGCTTTTAAACTTAGTTCAGGATTAATTGGTTGGGTTTTTTTTTCTGGAACTGATTATTAAGAACCCCAACTTCTTAGATACTTCTTAATCTTGAGTTTTATGTGATTTCTTCACCTGCACTGTGTGAAATCTTGGTGTGAAAATTAATAGTAGATAGGTTGCAGTATAATGTTTAGAAATAAATGGTCCTTTTTGATTTTTTTTTCAGTTAAAGATAAAGCTAGGAACATGTCCTTACATAGCAGTTAAAACTAGCCAGAAAAAGTAATTCTCTGCAAGACTGTTTTTCTTCTACGCCTGTAACGGAACTTCATAGCTGTTATAAAGAAAAAGTTCGTAGCTTTGTGCAGTGGAGCTGTGCCAGCAGCACTGAGGCTATGCAGTTTTCATTGCAGCCTGAGAGTATATAGTTACGTATTCTTCACCTTTTTGAACAGGCTAATCTAATTTTACTGCTATAAAGGAATACTTTTTCTCATCTTTCAGCTTTAGCAACTTTTTTATTACTAATGTCAAAACTAGAGGTGGAAATTTTTAACATATAGATTGCTTTATACTGCACAGAATGACACTATTAGAGAGCGGCAAAGCTCTAGGAAACCCAAATTATTTTGTTTGTTTTTGCTAGAAACTATAATGTAAGTGGCACAGCATTCACTGCATAAATAACTTAACTTGTAGTAAAGAAAGTAAAAATGCTTTTACTGATGTCTCTTTTCCATGTATTTTATCAATTATCCTCTTCAGTGCTCTTGTCAACATCTTAGTATTGAAATAAACACAGAAGTTTGACACACTAGGTCTCCAAAGTCAATTATTGTATTGAGTAGACATCACCCTGGACCTGAAAGTGCAGGCTTATGAATCACAAACTAGTCTTTCTGAGCACTGTATGGTGTGTTTTAAAGTGAGAGAAATTGAGAGCCTCAAAAAAAAACAACCCCACTTTCTAAGAGCAGGGATGAAAAAAAAAGGTAAAAAAAAAAATCCTTCAAACCCACAACTACTTCTTGTTTCATTTTTAATGCAAGTATCTCTTCTCACTGTTACATGTTTAGTAAACAGGGATTTTAGTTTCCTAAAACAGCCTTGTGTTTGCATTTTATCATGAATATGTAATTGTCATCTCAGATTATGAATCTTTAAAATATTCCACATAAACTGATTTTAATACAGCGCGTTTCTTTCAACTATTTCTTTTAGATTCTTTTTATTGGTTGCTTGTCATGGCAACAGGAGGTGGTCCCTTTGAAGAAGGCATGAATGATCAGGACTTGCCTAACTGGAGCAATGAGAGCCTTGATGACCGGCTGAACAACACGGTATAATTAATCTTATCTTTCAGTTGCCATTTTATGCTGTATGTTAAAATTACCAGGGAGATTGTGTTAGTGGCAGGTAACAATGTAAAACCCTAAGCCTTGCCAGTACAGCTTTATAGGTAAGTATCCGCAAAACCAATAAAAATAATTGAGGTAGACGTAAGCAAGCAATGAGTGTAATTCAGAGGTTGTGGAGTCTGTAGATGTATTTATGGGAAGTGTTTTAGGTAAATAAAGTAGCTAGACACAAAAGTATTGTAGGTGTCATGAAAGTGAAAGCTCTAATTTAAAAAGTTCTAAACTGCTGAAGAGTCTTCAGCAAAGAAGAAAAATACAGTTTTAGCTTCATTTGAAATTAATTTATTGCATTGTAGGATGAAGTAGGTTTAAAATTTCCTGACAAGCTATTTTTAATCTATGTAGTGGAGAAAATTATATTTTGTAATGTGACATTTGCTCTAGAAAACTTGGTGCGTATTTTGATAATGCTTTTTGGTTTTACTTCTAAAATGGAAGTAAACTTTCTTTCACTGAATTAAAACATTTACTTTCTGTCTGTGTGGATAACAAATATGACTTTTTTTTCTTCCCTCTCCTTCCCCTTAAGGACTGGGGAAGTCACCAGAAGAAAGCAAACAGATCTTCAGAAAAAAACAAGAAAAAACTTGGTGGGGAAGCCGAAACAAGGCTTACTAATGATATATCTCCAGAATCCTCACCTGGAATGGGACGACGGAAGACCAGAACTCCTCATAGTTTTCCTCATGCTCGATACATGACTCAGATGTCTGTTCCAGAGCAGGCTGAACTAGAAAGGCTTAAACAAAGAATAAACTTCAGTGATCTGGATCAGGTTTGTGTGAATACTAGCTCCCACTATAAATGTGACTACAGAATTTATATCTCTTAATAATTTGACAGATGAATAAAGAAAGCTTTCATAAGCAATTAAGGGGGGGGGGGGGGGAAGCTTATAGGCACCATGGGAGCCAAATCAAAATTCTAGTTTTGAACTTGAGAAAATTATGGAAAGTTCAGGTCCATGGCTTTCCTATGCTTGAGAGTATGCTAGCTGTCTTCTCTTTCTTCCTCTCAATCATTTACAAATTCCTGTGTCCTCAAATCAGTATTTCTTACTCATCATACTTGTCTGCCACTCAAAAATGTTACCTTATTTTGAAAGTCTGTTCTTGAAATGCCAGTTTGTGATTCTGAATATTGTTATCCTTGTGGATTAAGCAGAAGAGTAGCATTAACAGTAGAGCGTATGGCATGAATTCTTGAGCCATAACTGCTTCTTTGGGAATACGGCATATTCAACCTTCCCTTGTCCAAAACAATGAAAAATATGAGGGATTAATTGTTTGGTAATGAGGCATAAATTTATGCCAACAGTTTCAGAATAGAGGCTTGTTAATCTTGGCCAAAGTTTGTTAACTTGTTCGGTTTGTGAAGATTCTTTCAAGTGTGGTTCATTGCTTTGGCTTAGAATATGAAGACTGGGCATAACTTCCTCCCCAAATGTATGTTATGGCAACAAGTTGCTATTCAGAAGGTTCTAAAGAAAAGCTGAAGTTATGAGGTATCATATTCTGCAAGTGAATATGTTGCTCTTTTATTATTGTTATTCTCTCAAATGTGCCTGGAGAAGTAGGATGCCTTTCACTGTAGTAATGGTGGAGGCTGCAGCAGGGATGAGGAACTAAGCTCTGAGGAACTGCAGAACCCTTTTGCTTCTCAGCTGTTCTGGGAGGGTGGGCTTGCTCTTTGAAAACCATACGGCAAAAATCACCAGCACTGTCTTTAGCTAGCTTTTGCCTAGTCAGTGACTAATAAGGTAACTTAAAAATCAGTCTAATAATACTGCAGAACTGGTAATCCAAGCAGTGAAACTAATCAGTGTTGAGAATATATTGGAGGAAAAAAATAAAGCAATTGTTCTGTTTTTTTGTTTGTTTATAGAGAAGCATTGGAAGTGATTCTCAAGGCAGGGCAACAGCCGCTAACAACAAGCGTCAACTTAATGAAAACAAAAAACCATTCAACTTCCTGTCACTGCAGATAAACACTAACAAAAGCAAAGATCCTGCCTCAGGTTCCCAAAAAAAGGAAAGTGGGGTATCAGTGCAATGTAAAGAGTTGTTTGGAGCTGCTCTAAGCAAGGATTTCTTGCAAAATTGTCATGTCTCTGCTCAAGAAGATGGAAGGGGAGAACCAGCTATGGATAGTAGCCAGGTATTTACGTAGCCTATAAAGTCTACAGAGTATTGACACTTAGAAAGGTTTTAATTACCTTGTTACTTTTCAGTGCATCCTTCTAAATTTCTGGAAAGTATAACTGTTAAATCTTTATTGGAAATGCTTATCTTCCCACTGTTCTAGAAGGCAACTTGAGGAAAATGTGAAACCAAACTTAATCATGTATTGTTCTTTAGAAATCTGCTCATTGGTAACAGAAGCAGTATTAATTTTCATCTTAGACGTTGATTCTCTTTTATACAGTTCCAAAAATACTCTCTCAGTTTAATATTTTCATATGTTAATGAGCTCAATTCTGTTTTAGCCTATGTCGACAAGAAGCCCCGTGCTTCAGCCTTGCAACTTCACGCATGCATAGATCTATCCTTATAAAAGCTGTTGACTTCTAACCACCTGCAGAAGTGTGCTTATAGGATTGAAAGTACTAGTATGTCACCCCTTTAATTACTACTTTGCTGTTGCTGCGCCATGTCTTGTGCATTAAATACGTTGAAGCTGTAGCTGAATGCATTCAGTAATTTCAGTGTCTTTACAGATTGTGAGCAGACTAGTTCAAATTCGCGACTATATTGCTAAGGCCAGCTCCATGCGGGATGATCTTGTAGAGAAAAATGAAAGATCGGCCAATGTTGAGCGTTTATCACACCTTATAGATCACCTTAAAGAGCAGGAGAAATCCTATCTGAAATTTTTGCAAAAGATGCTTGTAAGTTTGAGAACATAATATATTTGTTTCTGCACTGTAAGCTTTTTTAGGTGTTGACTATTGCTATTTTGATGGTGCTACTGGGGGTGTTGGTTTTAATATGTAGTACCTTCCATATTTCATTTTTATTGCCCCCTTATATAGCTTTTGATTTATGCTAATGAAATATTTCAGGCTAGAGAAAATGAGGAGGATGATGATGTTCGGACTATAGATTCAGCTGTGGGATCGGGTTCTGTAGGTGAGAGCACATCGCTAAACATTGATGTGCAGTCTGAGGCTTCAGATACCACGGTAAGCTGCCTTTTAGTAATTAAGGTGGTAGAAATAGACTTTGTTTTATGTTGCTTTTGTTGTGATTGTTGTGATAGTGTCATAATCTGTAGTTCAATTAAAAAAAAGTAAATCCCCAAACACTCTGTTTAGGAGGTGTTCATCCATGTGTGGATATTTTTTTTTTAATATGGGGAAAAATTAATGATTCTGTCACAACAACAATGTATCTTGATTAGTTTTTTAAAATATGTAGTCTTCAAAGTAGAGTGAAGGGTTAAATGGTTACTGTGGCAGAACATGCATTGGGTTGATGTAGGAAGGAATATTTTTCTATACAGTTTTTCATCTGTAAGTTTTTCTGTTAGTGGGGAAGACCTGCTGGTGTTGGGTGAGGAGAGGGTTAGAAATGAGTCATTAGTGGGCCATTGCCCAACCATCTTTCTAGTAATATGGTAGAAGTATTGACCTAACACAGAAGTTTCTCTCCTTTTTTGGAGAGATGAGCACCTTTTAGAAAATGTGTTCTGAATTCAGTTCTGAGGTACACGGGCATATCTTCCTTTATATTTATAAAAGCTTTTGTATTAACATGGTAAACAATTCTTGTAGTAGATACAAAAATTTTTTAATGACAACTTATGTTTTACATCTTCCAATACTACTATACTGAGGAAAAATACTAGAGAGCTGGTACCCTTTTAACCACTTAGTACTCTGAATGTTCTACAGATGAGGAGAATTTACGTGCTTGGAAGTAAAACAGCAGTTAAAACATTAAGAAGTTTTTGTTATTTTTAGCTTTGTAAGAACTCTTTCTATCCCCATAAAGAAATAAAATGATGGAAGATGTACTTCTAACTTTAAAAGAAATAATTGAAAAATGCAGAAAAAGATCGGTACAGTTTTTAAGTAGTATGCATGTAAACTTGCATTTTTCTTCATCTTTGCAATATGGGTTTTACCTGCAGCTTGAATATATTACATGCAGAATGAATATTTCTAGTCATATCAGGTTGATTGCTGCATGGAGCCTTATTTTTATGAAAATTCTAAAAATGACTACAAATGTCTTTGCTCTTTAGTAGATTTTATTTGATATTTTCATTATTTGACAAGATACAAGTGGGTAGGTTTGTAACTTAAAAATACATGCTAAGTTGGAGCACATGTTCAAAATCTAACATACTAAACTATTTAATAAAGGAGGTATCTTTTAGTTTGAGCATTCGGCCCCGCATTGAGGACAAACTAGGGAATTCAGCTTCACGAGAACAGGTTACAGACATTGATGTTACAGCAAGCCCTAAAGGGAAAAGTGACAGAGCTGCTCTGAATGACAGGGAAATCTGTCCTTGTAGGATTAATAGCCAAGAACATGGATTGCCTTCAAAGGTACACTTAAAAATATTATTTTAGCCTCAAATAGGGTTTATACATGCTGATCTCGCTGGTTTTTTTTTTTCTTCTTTCACCTGTTAACAGCTTCAGATGTGTTTGTTACTTACAGTGAATGTTCCATTTGGCCTGCTTATCTGTATCCAGCTGTCTTTTCATTGAATGAATTTTCTTTGCCTGGAGTTTTTTTTTCTTTAAATAGAGATGTTTGACAACTTTCTCTTCTGAAGTGTCAACATTGACAGAGAAAGTACTACCTGTAACTCTGTACAGCAGGTGTTCTGATTTTATGTAGATGATCCTTCCAGTTTTGCTGTTCTCTTTCTGGTAAAACATATTGTAAATGTGACTTTCAGATGCTTGTTTTGTTTACACCAACAGTCTGCCAATGCAAATTTAAGCTAGTACCATACAGAGAAAATAGATTAGAGAATATTAGCCTTAACTTGTTCCACAAATGTTTTTGTATAGCTGTTTATATAAATATTTGGTTGAAAGGGGGAAGACCAAGGTGCTTGGAGTCTAAAACTTTATCTGTTACCAGCTTTTCTATGGCGTTGTCTCTTACTCTGATTTAAAAACAAAAAAGAAAAAAGTCCAAGTTTGATTATTTTTTTTCAATGAAATAAAAGGCTTAAATGTTTTGTCAGCTTATTAGGCTAAATGTAGAACTAAGCTTGACAAATTTGTTATTTGTTTTTAATGAACTCAAGCAAATCTGGCACTTTAGATAAAGCTTGGATTATTTAATAGGTGAGCGAGACTGAGACGCATCCACTTTTTCCCTTTCTTTCCCCCCATTCCTTCCTGTGTTGATTTCATTGTATACTCTATTTGGCCTCTACTCTGCTTTTTATATATAAGATGAAAATTTAACAGGAATGATCAGTGCCAGTTGCAGTACATGTTTTGGTGACACTTCTTTGAGAAGTTTAGAATTCTGGATGTGCTCTCCTTTCTCTACTGGAAAGTTGAGCACTCCTTGGTACCCAGAACTAGTTAATAAGATGCCTGCTTCTATTCTGACGTTTGGTGTGGAATTTTTGGACTGAGAGAATTTTGTACTTCAGGAACTCAGCACTATGTGGAGAGAAGATGATACTTTTAAGTCAGTAATGTTCTTGTTAAATACTTGTCAACTCCTAACAAAAAGGAGGCAAATTTTTCCGTGGTTTCATCTGCATAGTGTGATAATCCAACTTCAAACAGGATCAGAATCTTAACTGTGAATGTCTCATTAGATTACTTAATTTGCTGACAATCCTTGAATAAAAGTTTTGAGGCAAATCTCCGGCTTTTAATTAGGATAGGATGAGGAAAATAATTTAGTTTTAATATATTTTAATTGCACAACATGCTTTCGTTCCTTCAGATCTATTTCCATGTGTTTGAAAATGTGATATAGAGGGGGTTCTGTACATGTTTTTGTTCCGAAATTGGTTTACCTAAAGCTAGTCTATTCTAGTATCTATGGCATAAATATAGCATACAAAAATAAACACATTATAGGTTGGAGAAGAATAACTGCCCTAAATGTTCTGCTGAAAACTTAGAGATTTTAGGCCAGTAAATCAATCTAGATCTTGTATTATACGTAGTTCCATGATACTATGCCTTACCTTGCTTAGCTTTACCAGTCTTACAGCTTAATGCCCTCTTTTATGATTCAAAAGACAGGGATGCTTGGGTTAGTCTTCAGGACACATTAGGGTGGCTGACTGGATTTCTAAAGAAAACCTAACCGCCAGGAGTGGCAAGCACGTCTTGGTGGTACAGCCTTCTCCCTGTTGGATGTCTAAAATTTTTAGACTGAAAAGGACTACTGGAAAGGTGAAGCCGTTTCAGTTTCACCTTTTTACGCTAACCAGGCTGTTTGATTCTATTAAAGTCCTGCTTGTTTTGACACTTCTGTCACTAGTACTCAACAAATAAATTGTCATGATAATGGTAATGTTCTTCCGTATCTTGCAGGCCAGAGATCCTCGACAGGAAGCTAAAGAGGAGTTGGAGAGCTTGAAGAAGCAGCATGATTTATTGAAAAGGATGCTACAACAGCAGGAGCAATTGAAGGCTCTTCAAGGAAGACAGGCAGCTCTTCTTGCTTTGCAGCATAAAGCAGAGCAAGCAATTGCTGTCATGGATGATTCTGGTATGTGGAATGATGGTATGTTTGATAGCATGTTAGCATGCTGATTGAATGATTAAAGCTGAAATTGTGGAATACACATGAACAAGTCTTTTTTTTTATAATGCACTTTTTAAAAATTTTACTGCAAGTCATCTATTTCTGAAAAGAGTTGACAATGTAACATTGTAAAATGATGTGTCCGTTAAAAACCACGTAACTGATTTCTGTGATTTACTTGTAAAATCCTAAAAGTGTGGGGTTTTCTCCTAAGAATTGGTGTACCACATCAGATTAGGAGTCTGCCACTCATCTCCAGCATGGTACCAGGCCTTTGAAGGAAATAATTGGAGTAGGGGATGTTGTCTCCTTTTCTGCATCCTTCTGGATATAGGCAGTTGGTAGTTTGATTTTTTGTTTGCTTTTTCATGGTGTTTTTTTTTTTTTTTTGGTGGCTGGTTGCTTGACAGTTTATTAGCCATTGGTAGACTAATGGTTTATCCAGTAAAAGAAAGGAAGTTGCTAAAGCAGTTACATAACTAAATACGAAACTAGAACTCTGAAATGCTATGGTATCTGCTTAAAGGTTGTCAGCAGAGTTGTTTTCTCAAGAGTCCCTTAAGAGTTGCCATTAGGCTTGATTTAGAGGGTATATGGGATAGCAGTTCTTATTACAGTTAGTTTTTATATTTAAAATAGCTTAATTTGTAGAAATATAAGCATTGGTTTCTGCATTTTATAAAAAGTCTCTTTAAGGTTCCTTGCTCTGATGAGCTCCTCTTTCTGCTTTTTCTCCTTGATTTGATAGGCCATAGGAAAGAAGGTGGAACTAGTTAAGAAAACTCTAGATTTTTAGTGTAGGAAGAGAAGCGGAGAAGTTGGTAGGTAGAGACCTTTTAGAAAGCTACCACAGGAGCAAGAGAAGCAAGTGCCTTTGAAAGTTGTTTCCTTGTTTCTTACATGGTTTTCAGTAATTGCTTTTCGATCTGCTCTGCAGCAGTAGACCTGTGATGGAATCTGCTTTCTCTTCTTTCCTCAAATTTACAAAACTCCATCTTGATGAGGAGTGGGTAGATGAAGTGGGTAGAAAATAGGATTACTTATGATAAATTAGAACTTCATTTTTTTTCTTTGGTGGTGTTTTTATTTGTTTCACATTTCCACTTATGTCACTCTTAATAGCAGTTTCTTCCTGCTGTTTGCATTGACTTACTTAAAGATGTGATATGTGCCAGAGCTGTAGGGTAAGAAATGTAAAGATTCAAATTCACCATAGGGCAAAATAAATGTTTTAAAATTTGAAAATAGTAAAACTTTATTGTGCAGGTAACAAAGTCATGATCTATGGGGAAAATAAGTAATATTTGTGCTTGATTTTTCTTATGAAGTGTTGGTTCATATTTGGGGAAAAAGAAAAAGTTATTTGCATCTCTCAACTGCCGGTTCTATATCTTAGTACTGTTTGAGCTTTCAGGGAGGGGGAAAAAAGCTTTATTTTTAATGTATTCCTCTCATAAAGCTTTTTGAAGGACAAACCTGCAAGACTGTTTGCAGCTCTAAAGGTTACAACTTATACCAAGATGAAAGCTTCGTGTCCTGTTAATTTATTATTTTAAGGAAGTAAAATTACATGCACTGATCTTAGTTTGGCTATACAAAGTAATAACAATTTTGTTTTCTAACAAGCAAAATGTTTCCATTAACCCTAGACAACTTGGTTGTTTTCATTTTGCTCTGACCTTTTTAGTAAAACACAGAACAGACATAAAGTCCTTTTGTATGGTCCTTCACAAAGGAGCTGTGAGTTGGCTTGTACTAACTTCTGTAATGGAAGGAGTCTTTCAAGAGTAAAGTTGGTGGGAAGGACACAACATTAAAAATAATTGCTGTATTTTAAGAGGTGCAGTATATTGATGTTCTCATTAAACCAAACATTTAATTAAATAGCCTTTATTTCATCACTGTGGAAAAGTATCTACATTTTTTCCTTCTTCTTCTGCGTGCCTAGTTGTAACAGAGACTACAGGTAGTGTTTCAGGAGTAAGCCTTACATCAGAACTGAATGAAGAATTGAATGACTTAATTCAGCGCTTTCACAACCAACTTCATGATTCTCAGGTCAGTCCTTGGATTGCACTGTGTAAGTTTTGCCATTGTCTGTTTTTCTTATTCTTTTGAACAATGCAGTTAAATGTTTGTCTTGCTTATTTGTGTGTATTTGCTAGTAGAGTAATTAAGATACCCCAAACTTGAAAGCTCAGCGTCTTTGTGTTCTTAAAAGTTATTAGGTGACTGATCTGTGCTTTCTGTCTCACAGTTTTCCATAAAAGTCCAGAGAAGTAGTTTCTATATTGCAGTATAATTATATATTAAGTCAATATATAATTGGGATATCATTAGAGTATTTTCAGTATCAGTTTCACTTTATTATGTTCTTTGTTCTGGTGTTGAACCTAGCAAGCCTGAGGGCTTTTTGTTTCTTAAAATTTATTTGGCATTTTTCATAGTACTCTGAATAAAATGAAATTATTCTTTTTAGACACAGTCTGTGCCAGACAATAGAAGGCAAGCAGAAAGTCTTTCACTTACCAGAGAGATTTCACAAAGCAGGAACTCTTCAATGTCTGAACACCTGTCAGATGAGAAGGCGCAGCTTTTTAACAAGATGCGAATGTTGCAGGGTAAAAAGCAAAAAATGGACAAACTGTTAGGGGAACTTCATACACTTCGTGACCAACATCTAAATAACTCCTCCTGTAAGTAAATATAGGCAGAATTGTATCTTTTCAACAATACAACTTTTTTAATGTGCATATTTGTAACATGGTCTTTCAACTTGCAACTGGTTAATGAAATGCAGGTGACAAAGCTGTGCTGGGGCAATGTTATGCAAATGGTTTTTAATGCTGTATGGGTTGCTGGCTTAACGGAGAGCTCTACAAGTAACGATGATGAGTGTTTTTGCTAGCAGCGCTTTGGTTTATAACATTATCAAAGTTGACTAATGTGAGGATGTGATAGCGGGATTTTTTTCTTTGGGGCTTGGCTGTGACACATCTGACTTGTGGAGTGTACCTTATGAACTTGAACTTTCTGTATTTTTATCGCAGTACCTCTGTATTTATATACTTGGCACTTCAGATGTTAGTAGCTTTATGACATTATGGGGTTTGCTTGTCCACTGTCAAAAGACTTTCTCATGTGCTAGTTGCAGGGACTTGGATCATAGGCCATACCAGAGGAACTTAACTATGTGAATGGATTAGAGTTTTGGCCTGTTCCTTAGAAGGCTTTTTCTTCTCCTTAAAGTCTAAATGTGGGCCTACTTGCTGCTCTCGCTTTCTGTTCCTAGAAATACTTTTGTACTGGTGAAGTTTGTCCTATAGCTGGAAACTTCCGAGGGGTGATCACAACATGTTCTTGTTAACATTAAGAAATGAGGCAGTTGGAGCATGCTCCTGGAGAAGGGCAGACTGATGGAATAGTTACATTACTATACCCCTGTCTTTATACATGTACTTAATGCATATAATGAGCATATTTGGATATGATTTCATGTAGCTGAAAAAAGCAAACACCAAATCTCAAATGTATGTTCTACAGCATATGGACAAAAAAGCGTAGCAGAGGAAAAAAATTGACAGGATTTTTCTTTTTATCATGTTGAAATGTTATATTTCAAAAAAAGCAATTAAGCTGTAAATAAATCCTTAAAAGAACTCTTTGGGCAGATTCACAGCATGAAAGCTTCCACTTCTGAAGTTCAATAAAGCTAAAAAGAAACTGATTGAAGTCTTGTTTATAAAAGCTACTTATTACTCTCTGCCTACTGGCATTGCATGCCATGAAACTTAAGACAAAAGCTTTTGTTCTTCCAAGAAAAGAAGTTAATAAACTGCTGTTTTGTGTGTTGGTAGTATTTTCTGTAGTTACATTTTAATATAATTCAGTTAAGCAGGTTCCTTTTTGCAAGTTGTTCTTCTGAGCTCTGTTTCTTTTCTGTAGTTTTTCCTGCTTCAGGTTCTCCTCAAAGGAGTATTGATCAAAGAAGTACAACTTCAGCTGCTTCTGGTCCTGCAGGCATAGTAACTGTTGTCAATGGTGAACCAAATAGCCTGGCATCTGCTCCCTATCCTCCTGATTCCCTGGTTTCTCAGAATGAGAGTGAAGAGGATGACAATCTAAATCCAACAGAAAAGCTGCAGTAAAAGTTCTTTTAATTTTTTTTCATAATGTGCTTTAGTGATTTTGAGTGTTCCTTTTTGAATAAACTCTGTGTTAAGAAACCATTTCATATTTTAATCTACTTAATTTAGTATTATAGACCGTTTAGTAAATGGTCCAAGATGGTTAAATGAGTTCAGAGCTTCAAGCAGAAGGTTCTTACAGCTAGGAAAATGGCAGTAAACTTTAAAAACTGTAAATGATGTATATACTCTACATAGATTTGATTAATATGACAAAACACATAGCATATTCTTTTTTTTCTCCTCAGGAGGCTAAATGAAGTTCGTAAGAGGCTGAATGAGTTACGTGAGTTAGTTCACTACTATGAGCAAACATCTGATATGATGACAGATGCTGTGAACGAAAACACTAAGGAAGAGGAAGAAACAGAAGAATCAGAAAGTGATTCTGAACATGAAGATCCGCAGCCTGTTACAAATATTAGGTTGTCGTATTTTTTGTCATCCTAAATCTTTGTAACTAAGTTGTTACAAGTTTCCTGAAGCAATACATTATTTTGGTCAACCACAAGTAACTTAATTCTGTGATTACATTAACTTTCCAAAATTTTTAATTTGAAGTAGCTTTCTTATACAGGTGATTATTATTAATCTTGTGCTTGGTAACTTAGTTATATAGCAAATGTAGATTAGATGGGAAATTCAGAAAATCACTATAAAATACTTCAAAATCTGTAAGTCCTTTGGGTTTAAGCACTGAATTATGTGTATGGAATTCCACTAGAAGGTTAACAGGCCTATACTAGGGAATTGGAATAAAAACAAACTTCAGTTTAGAGAGGCATTTAGAGCTATAGTCTAACAGGGCAACTGTGTGCATCAAGGATCTTCACTGTGCAGAAACGAATACTAACTTAGCTATGAATCATATAAAGCTTTTCTAATATAGACAGATTCCTTGAAAGCCTCTTGTATTGTTGTAGATCTAGCAGGTGATAATTCATGGCTGCTTCTGATTGCTTAAAGAAAAAAACAAACTATTGGAGAGAAGGATATTGAGAAATTCCAAATGTCTGGGCTGATTTTATATGGGGTTAATTTTTTTTTTTTTTAGAAAGGGTCAGGGGACATTCCCGTAAAAGCCAGTTAATAAAATGGCTGAAGTAAAATTCCATCAATATCAGTTCTTAAAAAGTTAACATGAGTAATGCATTTTACCCTAGAAATCCTCAAGGAGTCAGTAGTTGGAGTGAAATAAATAGCAACTCAAATGTACAGTGTGGAACTAATAACAGAGATGGAAGACATCTTAATACAGACTGTGAAATAAATAACCGATCTGCTGCTAATATAAGGACTCTAAAAATGTCTTCTACTTTAGGTATGTTCTAAAATCTTCTGTAATTTTAAGTCTTAGTGCAAATAATTCTGATAGCTGCACAGAATTTGGGAGAACCTTGTTTGATGAGCAAAATGTTCAAGAGTCTAATCATGAAGCTGATCTTTTTCTAATGTCCAGTAATTACAGTGGACTTCAGAAGTTCAATAATGTGTCATTGGTACTGTTTTGTTTCCTCCTCTCCCCGCCTCCAGACTGTCATAATAGGGAGGATGACAAAGATACTGATCTACCCCAAGGTGAAGATGATGAAGTGGAAGAAGACAGAGTTAGTGAAGATTCCATATCTAGTCACAGAAGCAGTCTGGGTGATGCTGCTGGAGATGCTGAGTTTGAGCAGAAGATCAACAGGCTTATAGCTGCAAAACAGAAACTTAGACAGTTACAAAATCTTGCTGCTATGGTGCAGGTATTTTATGAATATAAATGTGTGCACAAAAATGTAGCATTCATTATTTCATATAATGTATAACTTTAAATAGGGAAAACCACCCTGCTTAGTGTAACATTGAAAATGCTCATTTTTAGGCTGGGGGAAAAAAAAAAAATACTGTTTGAATTTTCTGAAGTCAAGGGTGATAGGTCTGAAGTTCAAATCTGGTATTTTCATAGGGGATGCTAACCTAAAAGAAGAATGGCCTTAATACTTAACCTTAGCACTGGATTACAAAATATGAACCAAGAAGTCTAATTTTTTTTTTTAATAATATTGATCTACATTTTTAACCTTATAATGTATGTTCATCAGTTTTAGTTTTTGAATCCTAAGTTTTGCAACATCATTCAATCAGTGAGGAAAAATTACTTGTTTTCATATTTGAGCACCATCTAATGTAATGTTGGCATACTGAATACACATAGGTATATCAGAAATGTAAAGCCTTTATGTGAGAACTCTAAAATCAGTCTTAATTAGAACATATATTTTACAATAGCAACAGTGTAAACACTATGTTGTTATTTCAAGATTATATTGCTGTCAGAAATTTCTCAGCATCTGGATCAGGCTTTGTTTTTTATCATCACTATAGAGACATTAACTGTACAGTGGTATAAATCAGAATTAGAGATGATACAGCATCTTCCTTAATAAACAACTTAATTAATGGTATGTCTTCAATCTTTCCTTCATATTTACAAGGTTTGTATCTGTATGTACTCAGTAATGGTACTGTAGGTCTGTGTAGCTGTGTCATACTTGGTCACTGATGATGATCTCTCCTGTTCAAAGTCATGTAGGAGAACAAAAGAAACAGTGTCTACAGCTTTAATGTTTTCAATTTGAGTTCAGAACTGAAAATACAAAAATTATGAAAACAAGAAAAGTGGAATAGAGAGCCATGTAGAAGACTCTAAGATATTTTAGATTTAACTTTCAAGAGTAGTTTTGTTTTTATTTTAAGCTCTTAATAGTAATATTTAACTTCATAACTACAGTAATTAAGCAATCTTGTTCTCAGTTTCCTTCTATTCCTCTTGAGTCCTCCTTTGAAGTGCCTGTGTTATGATCTAAACTAAAGCTATGCAGACTGTTTAGTTTTGAAAAATTAGTTTGACAAACTAAACTTGTTACATTTTGTGTATCAACTTGAAAATAGTCTGCCTTTCTGACATCCTTTTAGGATGATGATCCAGAACCTCAAGCAACAACTGCAAATGCATCTAATATTGGTGACTTGTTTTTGGGTGAGATGGAAGAGACAAAGCAACAACCAAACAATGTCCGAACTAGTACCAACAAGTTACAAAAAGATGTAGGACTGAATGAAAAAGCAAGGTATGCCTTTCTCAAAGGATAGTAGAATCATGCTTTAGGCAACTTCTTGCCAAGTAATATGCAGATAACTTATTTACGCAGAGAGAAGTTTTATGAAGCTAAACTTCAGCAGCAGCAACGGGAGCTTAAGCAGTTACAAGAAGAAAGAAGAAAACTGATTGAAATTCAAGAAAAAATTCAAGTGTTACAGAAAGCTTGTCCTGACCTTCAAGTAGGTAGAATATTCCTTTCCTTTCTTAAGCTGTTGAGCAATGAAACATAAAATATCTTTCACGCCATTTTTTCACTATAAAAATTGGAAAAAACTTAAAATTGATAATACTTGTGTACTGTAAGCAGCTGGACTTCTAAGTCTAGAGAAGACTGTAGTTTGTCCTCAAAAGCCTTTATTTAAAGTCTTAAAAGATGGAGAAACTTCTGTCTTATTTTTAGCCTGAAATGTGTCTGTCCATACCTGCTAGTCACTGCGTCTTCACTCCTATTAGTTCTGTCATTTACAGGGTCTGGTATTTTGAAAACATATTGTCTTGTTAGCATGATCAACACTTTGTTGTATTCAGACTTAACTGCACAGTGCTGTACTGTTTCTCATACTCTCTGAAGATGAACTTTTTTCTATGAAGTGAGCAGTAGCTTATCAATATTGTGCATCTACAGCATTATATATGTGGTGGGTTGACCCTGGCTAGATGCCAGATGCCCACCAAAGCCGCTCTATCACTCCCCTCCTCAGCTGGACAGAGGAGAGAAAACATAATGAAAGGCTTGTGCGTCGAGATAAGGTCAGGGAGAGATCACTCAGCAGTTACCGTCACAGGCAAAACAGACTCGACTTGGGGAAAATTATTTTAATTTATTGCCAATCAAAATCAGAGTAGGGTAATGAGAAAATAAAAAACTATATCTTAAAACACCTTTCCCCCACCCATCCCTTCTTCCCGGGCTTAACTTTACTCCTGAATCTCTGCTCTGGCACCTGGAGCACCTCCTCCCCCTCCTTCTTCACTGACCTTGGTGTCTGCAGAGTTGTTCCTCTCACATATTCTCAGTCCTCTCTGTCTTGGAGCCAGCTGGCACTGGCTCTGTCAGACATAGGGGAAGCTTCTGGCACCTTCTTACAGAAGCCACCCCTGTAGACCCCTGCTACCAAAACTTTGCCACGCAAACCCAATACAATATAATACTATATTACATAACAATAAGTTCTGTTGATTCCTGGCTGAGTTCTGAAATCCCTTTTCACTGAATAGTAATTCCCCTATCTCATAAAGCCAGAACCCTGTTGGGTTTTAACAGCAGGTAAGTTTTAGAAAGCTACTCTACTCCATTTTGGCATTTTGCTTTCTCTTTCAGTTGTCAGCTGGCCTGGGCAACTGCCCAGCAAATAGGCAGACTTCACCAGCAACGTCAACTCCGGCCACGAATGAGTGTAACACAGCTGGCAAGCCTTTACTTGAATTTGATGAATCTGTACCAGTAGGCAATGAGGTATTTCATACTTGATATTCTGTGACTTAAGAAAGGTTTAAAATGAAAAAAGTTTTAGGTAACTTGGACACATTTTTAAGTACTTTGAATGGGGAGTGGAGTAGTAGCCATTTTAACAAAGCGTGTATAAGTTGTTTGTTTCATTTCTGGAAAGAAGTAAATGTTGACCTGAACTGGCAAGAGATCTTTCAAAAAAAAATATAGCAGTTGTTGCCAAATATTAATGTGGAAGTTGAATTAATTTTTGAATTTGTACTGTGCAGATTTGATAAGTGTATACCACAGGGAAGTCATCCATGAAGAAAATGATGGCAGGATTTGAAACTTAGTTTATCTTCTACGCATCTTCCTTCCCCTTTTCCCCCCAAATTCATGTCTTAAATAATGATCTGGATATTACTTAGTCTTTCTGAAAATTATGCTAGCATTTGTAGGGGTGGAGGGATATGTGATGAAAAGTGTTTCCTGGCTAGACTAGACATCAGAAACAAGTATCTGAAAAATATCTTTTTTAATAGACGTTCTCTGTGAGTTGCATCAGCATTCTAGTAAATTTTCTTTTAACAGTTTAGGTGAGGCTGATTGGCAATGCCCGTACTGTTGTCATTAAAAGCCAAATTTTCCTCCTCCAAGAAGAGAATCTCAGAACTTTAGCATCTTCCAAATAAGCATTACAGGACAACTTGTCCCTTTTCACTAAACAAAAGGTCTGAATTCTTCCTGCTAAAAAGAAAGTGTCTCCAAAATCAATGTGCTGATGTAATTGCTAATACTCTACAAACAGGTTGGGTTATTAATTATCAAAATATGTACAGATTTTTGTTGGAAAACTTCTTAGCTCCAGCACCACCAACCAGTTCAGTTGCTTTCAGGCTTGAGTACATTGTCTCTTAAGTCTGCGTTTTCCAGTCTAGTGCACTTACAGAATTGGTTTTGTATGTTATGCTATTATGTTATGCAGTTTACGTGTTTGTAAAAGTATCTTGCCGTTTATGCTTTCACTGGATTTAATTTAAGGTAGATAAAGGCCTCTTTCTACCTGTACCTTTCCCTTTTTGTGCTCTTCTTTGTAAATCATGGCTTCATTAAGTCTTGTTCAAACATAAACTGCAACTTGAAGTTTCTGCAAGTTGCAGAGAATCTTTTTGTTGTATACTGTACTTTGTTATCAAAGAAGTACTTGGCACAATTTTCAGATTTCGCCAGAGGGTAGTATTCTGTCATGCTACTTAAAAGGCTAACTAACAATGCATAAATTATGTGATAAAAACGGTGTTGAGTGCAACATGCACTGTTTTTCTTAAAGAACTCTGTTCTCTAATGTTTAATTACCTTCTTAGATTTTTCAGTATTTGGGATAAATAGTAAATACAGGATGTATTTTGCAGCTTTCTATGGTGTGGCTTCAGTTACAGTATAATACCAATGCCTGAACAAAAAGATAGCAGTGTAGTATCAAATACTGAAATTTTAATGTGCTTTAGTTTAGATTTTATTTATTTTGTTTATATTCTAATGTCTTCCACTTTATTGCAAACAGTTATGGTCTGAGATGAGAAGACATGAGATTTTAAGAGAAGAATTGCGACAGAGAAGAAAGCAGCTTGAGGCTTTAATGGCTGAACATCAGAGGAGGAGAGAGCTCGCAGAAACAATATCTACTGTTGCTGCGTCTGTTAAAAGTGAAGGATCAGAAGCTCAGCATACTCCACAGCAGAGTAGGACTGAAAAGTAAGAACACGAGTCACTCTGTGTAACTCAGTGTTGTGATGATATAACAGAGCAGTAAATTAATTTCTTGACTTCTAAAGGGACTGTTAGTTGGCAACTTGCCAGTTCTATGGGTCTTCCCAGTGTATTTAGTCTCCTTTGCGCCATAAATGGTGAAAAATCACTGAAGGAGAGGAGAATGTGTGGAAAATACCAAATGCTCAGAGTAATTTTTCTACATCTCTACATAATTTACAACAGTAGTAAAGTAATAATTTTCCAGAACAGTAAGTTATTTGATTGAACTTGTCCCAATATCAGTAGAATACTAGTTTCACTTTGCATTGGTGAGATAATGTTTAAATTAATTTTGGTGCAGCTTGATCAGTTGAAGATAGACAGACTTGCAATAGTCAGCAGGCTGCTTTAATAATTTGTCATAAGCTAAAAAAAAGTACTCCTCCCTTTCCAAACACCCCTGTGGTTTTTTTTCTTCTCTCTCTCTTCCCCCTCGCAATATGCACTAGGACAATGGCTACCTGGAGAGGTTCTACCCAGTGTGCACTAGATGAAGAGGATGGAGATGAAGAAGGTTATCTCTCTGATGGAGTTGGTCAGGCAGAAGAAGAGGAAGAAGATGCGTCAAGTTTGAATGACAGTTTCTCTATTTATCCCAATAACAACATACCAGAAAATGCATATTTTGTTAAAGAAAACAAGGATAGGTTAGTGGCATTACTTTTTGATCTGATGCTTGTCAGAATATATTTGGAAGGGGTGGAAGATTCATTGCATTACCTAAAAGGCATCCTTTTACAGCAAAGTGAAATTTCTTTCCGCTTGCTAGGGAGCTGCGTGCAGTGGCACTTTCTTGTCTGAGTCGCTGTAGCTGCAATGTGTATAACTAATTTGATTATTTCTTCAGTTTTCAGTCATACTAACTGTCTGTCATTGAGCTCTCCAGTTGTGTTGCAGTAGCTCCTTATGTTCCTATGTCATTTTAATCGGCTTAAAAGATAACCTATATGAAATTTTTGCCATGATATTGATCAGTCTTTTCAAAAAAAGTAATTCCGAGAATTAAACGAACTCTGAAATTTTTGCTTTCAAATTGTTGGCTTTTGCAGCTTTGAAAACTATTTCTTACTAGATTTTTTAATTAACATGGATATTTTTAACTTTTTGCTTACCTGATTGATTTCCTTAAGTGTTGTGTGACTAAAGGAAAATGCCATGTTAAAAGTAATGTACGTCTTTTCAATTCATTTCCTGGTTTCGATACCAAAATAATTTTAGTAGATAGTGGCCTTCTAGTCAGGAGCTGGGCCTGTTAATTCCTAGTGTTGGTGGCTTCTATTTTCATCTGACTACATACTATATATCAGTAATGGACGATACTGAAAACAAGATCCAGAAACATCCTTAGCAAGTCTTTTTTGACAGTGGTTGTTAGTTGGGTGGCTGTTACAGGATAATGTTGGATTGACAGAATGGCATGGGTGATTAGCCGGCACACTGAAGTGGCCTGTGCCAAGTGAGTTGTTGATGTACAACTGAAACATAATTTGAATAATGGGAGTATCACTAGAAGAAGTTGTTTGGAATTTCAGCTTTTGTCCTCATTCTTCCTTTTTTTTTTTCCCCCCACCCAGGTGGAAAAATTGCCGTCCTCTTTCAGCAGATGGGAATTATCGTCCATTGTCTAAGGCCAGGCAACAGCAAAACTTAAGTATGCGACGTCAGGAAAACCTTCGGTGGATGTCCGAACTTTCATATGTGGAAGAAAAGGAACAATGGCAAGAGCAGATCAATCAGTTGAAGAAGCAGCATGAATTTAGTGTCAGCATTTGTCAAACTTTGATGCAGGATCAGCAGGTAGATATGAAGAGCAGTTATTTTGTTGTTCTTACTTTGTCTTTTTTGGGTTTGTTTTGTTTTGTTTTGTTTTCCTTTTTCCCTCTAAATCTTTCCAGCAATAACTTCTGGTGTTGGTAATCTGGGCACTGTCGTGTGTTTTCTTTCCACAGACCCTCTCTTGTCTTCTACAGACTTTGCTCACAGGCCCTTACAGTATGATGCCCAATAATGTTGCATCTTCGCAAGTACATCTTATTATGCATCAGCTGAACCAGTGTTACACTCAACTTGCTTGGCAGCAGAATAACGTCCAAAGGTTTGTTGGCTGTATTAGTGTTTGTGGAATTTGAAATACTTCAGTAACAGAGAACATGGTTATGTGAATAAAAGATTACAGATAATGGTTAAATACGAGACTTCTGAAATTCTGAGTTGATTACAAGTTTTTTAAATTATATACAGCATTTTTGGTTGCTTTTTTCACCACTGCTTTAATGCCTTTGAGATGGCTCTTTTTGAGTAGTCTTTGGTGAAGAGAACCAAAAGTTGGCATCTCTACCAAAAATCTGTTGCAATAGCTTTATTTGGCTTTTTTGGTTTACACTTGCTTTCCTTGAATATGCTTTTATGTCTTTAGTCTTTGCTAGACTACCTGGCAAGATTCTGGATTCTAATGGTTATGGCAAACATGGTGGAAAAGCTTTTTGTCCTCTTAGTGTTGTCAGTCAGAATTTATGCTTATGCTCCTTTTGGATGTACTACTTTTACCTTTGAACAACAATCTTTTTTAGAAAAAGATGTAATAGTCATTTTAATTCATTACATGAAAGTTCAAGCTCTTCATCTCTGTTTTGTATTTGGTAAGTGATATATAGTTACTGGCCTCTTATATAATATTTTGAAGTGATTTTAATGCCACTTCTGCAAATATTTTGTATCTTCAGTTGTTTCTATTAAGTTCCCTTTTCAGCCTGCTTATTTTTTTAGTATCTAGTCATTTTTTTTGTTGTTCTTGCAAGGCTGTTTAACCTGTAACCATGACCACTAGTACAGGGTGGTTGATTTTAAAACCGTTCCTGGCTGTCACTCAGGATGAAATACAAGGGGTTTTTTTTCTTGATTTTTTTTTTTTTTTTTTTTACTAGCTAAATGGAGCAGTTCTTTACATACATTACATGAGGCAGGTGAAATAATATGAATCTCAAATTACTCAAGTATAAATTTACGGCTTTCTTTTAGCATTCTTGTTTTTCCCAAGTGCTTATTTTTCCTTGTTTTCAAGGTTGAAACAAATGTTAAATGATCTTATGCGCCAGCAAGAACAACAACAGTGTCCAGAGAAGCCATCAAGAAAGGAGAGTGCCAGTACTGCGCCACCACCTCCATCTCCTATTTTCTGTCCGTTCAGCTTTCCTCCACAACCTGTGAACCTGTTTAATGTACCAGGATTTACTAATTTTTCTTCCTTTGCTCCAGGTGAGTATTACTACAGGTGTGAAAAGTAATATGAATTTCAAGAATTTCTGTTCACCCATTTGATTGAAATCTTAATGTGAGCTTGCTGAAACTCTGTGACTTTTCCTTTATATTGAAATGGTATTAAACCGTACTTTGAGTCCATATTATCCTAGCAGAAGTTTGTTAATGTTTATTGCTGAACAATTGTATATTTTGACTTCAGTATGAAAAGCAAGACTTCCTCAGTAAGAAGTTGGTTATAGTCAAAATTACCCACTCCATAAAGTTAACATTTTACATGTTCTTCATCCAACATGTGAAAAGCAATGTTTGAAGCTTTTACATACCTTTGTCAATCATTTAATAAGTGTTCTAAGTGAACCGTCTAATTTTAAGGTGGCACTTGGTAATTGTTTATCTTTTTCTTAGAACTTCCGTCACTTGTTTTTGTTCGAAATGCCTGCAAATGGACTGTGTTACTAATTTTTGTTCCCATCAGAGGTATAGAGTAACTGTTGACTTGGACACAGTGTTCCTAATCTCATTACCAAATCTACTTGTACTGTTGAATTTGAAATGGAAAAAAATCTAGGTATTTTACTGTATCATTAGAAGTTGCTAAAGCTGTCTTAAAAATATATTTCAGCTGTTTCAGGAAACCAGGAAAAAGGCATAGACGTAGATTGCAGCTTTCAGATTCTAAAGTCCGTTTTCTGTTTAAAGATATATTTTAAATTATATGGAACCCACACAGAAGAATAGTTACGTTCAATTTGCTGCTACTGTAAAGATTCTGAAGTTAAAATTAGTATTATGAATTTATAACTTCTTTGGCCCTATGAATACTTGTACTGTTGGAATTATTTTGTCAGTATGGTAGTTGAAGTATTGATAAAGTCTTCATGCAGGCAGAGCTCTGCCTTTTTTGGAACTGATGTAATTTTTACATTCACTTGTAGGAGCTCTTTATTGGGGTTTCTTGAAGTACCTTCATCTCTCCACTGATGGGATCGTAGTGGCATGTGTAGTATCCAGTAATGTTAGAAACCTGCATGTAAGATAAATTCCGATTATTGTACTGCTTTCAGGACAAAAACAGTTTTTGCTTACTTCCCCACTGTATTTTTGCTTCATAATGTTATGTTACCACACAATATGTCTCAAATTTGGTTTTTATCACACAGATAAATGAGGTAGTATCTTCTGACTCTCTTGTTTACTTTGTAGGTATTAACTATAATCCAGTGTTCCCTTCTGGTTTTGGAGATTTTGCACACAATACTTCCCCACACAGCAGTGAGCAGCAGCAGCAACATCCTCTAGATCATAATGCTTCTGGGAAAACTGAGTATATGGCATTCCCCAAACCTTTTGAAAGCAGTTCCTCTAATGGAGCAGAAAAACAAAGGTATTTAATGTCACAGTGTAACTTCCCTTTAATCATTTTTCCTCCCTTTCTCCTCCCTTTTCTGGGGCTTGTGGGAATGCATCATTCTTTTAGGAAATTTATCTTCCAGATAAATAATAGAATTACAAGATGAGCTTGCTTTTGCGGTTTCCAGTGTAATTTTTTTACTTTTTTCACTAAACTGTTCTGCTTTTCTGTATATTAACTAATGTATTGTTTCATGAATATTTTAAGATCAAATACAGTGTTGGAGTGGTTTTGTGATACATTTTGTAAGTGGAGGAAGATTTCATTTCCATGGTTTTTGAAACTGAGCTGTTTGAATAACTAGAGGATATAATTTCAGCAAACACTTATTTTTTGTGCTACAGTAGAATGTTTTGTCCTGTAGTACTATTTGAGCACAGCAATACCTGCATAAGTATATTGAGGTTGAAATCAGTGATAAATGTGAATTTCTTCAGACATTTTCCATTTTCCATTTGGAAGGGTTCTTGCTAGTTTTTTTTTCCTTCAATGTTCAGTTGATGACTAAGTAACTAGGGCAGATAACTTGCATTATGGATAAAGCTACTTGCCTGGTCATACATGCTGTTTCTATCTGAGAGACTAGGTTATGATAATTGTGGTCTGTCTGTCTTTCTTTCTGACAGGAGGAGTCATAGACAACCTGAAGAGGAAATGGAAAAAAGATCAACTTGGCTTAATGATAGCCAGGAAGTGAAAAAAGATGATCAGTCTCAGCTGAAAGCAGCTTTTGCAGTTTCAGTGCAAAACATTGCTTCCGGTCATAAAAATCAGTCTGATATGAGCAGGAGAAGAGAGTTTGATGAAGAGTCTTTGGAGAGTTTTAGTAGCATGCCTGATCCAGTAGACCCAACTACTGTGACAAAGGCATTTAAATCTAGAAAAGCATCAGCGCAAGCAAGCTTGGCATCAAAAGATAAAACACCCAAATTGAAGAATAAGAGGAAGAGTTCTTCTCAGCTAAAAGGCAGAAATAAAAATATTGGTAGGTTGTAAAGTAATCTTAGATACCATGGCAAACCCAACTTGGATTATAATCATTACATTCCAGAGAATTTACTCCCCATAAGTGGTACCTATAATAATGAAAATAAGTTACTGAAATATGAATACATTTTACATAATGTAACTACATAAGGTTTTTTAGCATTTCAATAAATAAAAAGCATAACTGATTAGGACATTATGATTTGAATGGATAGTGGATGCAGATACACTAAGATTTAGAATAAGCCACCAGGAGAATTTTCCTCTTCATTATGTCTTCATGTTCATACTGAATGACTTGCTGAAAGATGTGCTTCAGTAAAGTACTGAATGAGAAGAGAGGGACAGTACTAGCACATATAGTACTGTTGCAGTCACTGAGGATTTAGTGCTACTGTATGGCTTCAGTGTACAGAGGAGAATTTTTGGCTAGGAAATGTCATTGGTGTTTTGCATCTTTGAGGTTGCCCTCGAACAAATTTTTAAAAGTAATAAAATGCTTTGTAAGAAATTTTTTTACTTCTCCCTTTTCATCCCCTCCCATAAGGTTATGAAAGTGCCAGTGCTTCTAGTGTGTGTGAACCCTGCAAGAGCAATAAAAGCAGACACTCCGAAGAGGTTGTTCATGCAAAGGTGTTCAGCAAAAGGAATCGGGAACAATTGGAAAAAATAATTAAATACAGTAGATCTACAGAAATGTCTTCAGGTATTCTTTTCTGAATGTCAGTAATTATTATGTGAACCTCTCTGAGTAAAGGACCTCCATACTTAGTTGCTAGTGTATTATTTAAAAGCAGTTTATTATGACAATACTGTATTTTTAGCATGTGGATTTTGCTTTTTAATTTCTAAGGATGGTGTAAACGTAAAAGTGTGTAGAAAGTTGGGTATTGATTGCTTTTGGGTATTTTCTGTAGATTAGGTACTTGATTAAAATAATTTAGAAACAAACCTGTTACTGTAAAACAAAAACCTAGCCAATCAAAAACCTCACCCATTTGTTGGTGGTGTTATGGAAAGTAACTGCACAATGGAAAGTAACTGCACAACAGATGAAACTGTTTAGTGTTTCAACTACATCCTGTACTGCATACATGTTTTCTTTCTAGTCATGCTTAAAGGAACTCTATCAAATATCATTCAAATTCAATCTTATAACATCACATAAACCCTTACATTTTTGCCATCTGCACTGCTTTTCTTGCATCTAGATCATAAAAATATTCTCTTTTGTGTCTTTTTAGGTTCTGCCAGTACCTTTGTTTTGTTTGAAAGAGGCAGAAATTTTAGTCATTGTAGCACAACGTACAGCTTTGTCAATCTAGCTGCGTCCACACTGAGCTGTTTATTGGTATATGTAATAAACTTTTACCAGTCAAGTTCTCACAATAAGCAGCTTTGTGGTTTGGATGACTAAGCAGTCTTCCTTCTGCTGTTTTGTATAGACCCTGTCTTTATTTCTGGTGCGCATTTTTGTGTTTATCACTGTCTATCCCCACTTTCCTACAGCGCATGCTAGGAGAATTCTGCAGCAGTCTAACAGAAATGCATGCATTGAAGCGCCAGGTAATGCATTCACTGCTTAGCTTCAACAATGTCCTATTTTTTTTTTTCCCTCTTCAGTTTTGGTCCTATAACTCAGACTGTTTAGCAGATGTTCAAAATTAGTATTATTGCAGCACCTTCTCTATAAACAAGGCAAGAGAAGTTACTTGTAATTTGCATGCAATGCAACGATACAAACTACTTTGGATTATAATTGTGGAGAATGTGTTATCATGTTCTCGGTTAGTCCCAATTACAAGTGGAAAATACACAGGTAGTTACTACGACAGAAAACTAATTTCAGTAGATATTTTTAGCATGCTACTATTACATTTTATTAATGGGGGAGGGAAGAGATTTCTGGTGGCTTATTAAAGGTTGAAAAAGCTTGCCTCTATGCTTAAAAATACTGGTAAACTATTTGCAGATATTCAAATTGCACAGTAACTTTTGCTGTATTGCTAATAACTTCATTAACTTGAATACTAACAAATATGTATCTGTTAAACTAAGCTGAGTTTTCAAAATTTAACTTTTTTTTCCATTCAACGCTTGCCAAAATATGTACGTAATAATTTAACTGTTGTGATGCAAGGATAATCCTTAATTTTCAAAGGAATGGGAACACATTGTCTTCTCATGCATATGTAATAGGGCTTAAGGGTAAGAAGTTTTATGTGAGCCTCAGAAGTGATATTAGACATGTATGAGAATGTAGGATTTATGCTTCTGTGGGAGGTGTGGGAAGGAGTGGCGTTCTTGAATTAAGTCTAGAGCTTTCTTAATGTTGTTGCTTGTATTGCAAAAGTGTGGACTACTTGTATTATATAAACTTGAGACCTTTGGCTATCTCGTTTGAAATATCTTAAAACTCCATTTTTAGTGTTGAATACCTATTCTAAAAGCAACATTGTGGTGTGTGCAATATTCTCTTTAATAAAGAACACTTTCTAAAGGTATTGTTCAGAATTGTAAAGAAACTTATTCCTATAGTACTTTATATTTTATTTCATATATAAAGGATTGCATAAAGTATTATTTCAGAATGTTTAAATCTTTGTTGCCCTTCAGGAAATGAGTAAGCTTTAGGAAAGCAGCTATATAATGGAATCTACAATGATTGAGATATAATTTGTGTAGCTGTAACTTGCATACCTAACAGGCAGTTGTCTTTCAACTGAATGCATGTCAAAGACTTAACGAGTTCCTTTTTTTCCCTGCAGAAACTGGTAGTGATCTTTCTATGTTTGAAGCTTTGCGAGACACAATTTATTCTGAAGTGGCAACTCTTATTTCTCAAAATGAGTCTCGTCCTCACTTTCTTATTGAACTTTTCCATGAGCTTCAGCTGCTAAATACAGATTACCTAAGGCAAAGGGCTCTATATGCTTTACAGGTACGCACAAGATTTTTGATCTTATGTATGAATCAAACACATCTTGGATCCTTTTTTACAGTATAGATTTATTATCTTTTCCAGGATATAGTGACCAGACATTTATCTGAGAACAACGAAAAACAGAAGTGCACAAAATCACCGAATTCTGCAACATGGATGGCATCAAATTCTGAACTTACTCCTAGTGAAAGCCTTGCTTCTACAGATGATGTAAGTTTTCAAGTTCAGAAGCTAGTTCACTGTCAACTTTTCCTGTGTTTTCAATTTACATGCATGCTTGTGTACTGAAATATTCATACTAGCGATTGAAATTTTCTACAATTAACATCAACTTGTACAGACTTTTCTAAACAAAGAAATGTGAGAGAATCTTAATGCAAAAGTGATTACATATGGTAGGATTCTTGATGCTGGAAGTGAGTGATGTGTCAGGGAGGAATAGAACATGGAGAGGGGCATAAATCGGAAACTGATACTCAAAAAGAGCCGAAATCTTCTTGTGAGTAAGGTCAGGGCAAGTACTGATCACAGGATTCCCAAAAAAATTTTGCTTTTTTTTGTATTTAAGGAACCACTGATGCCTCTGTACAGTTTCTTACGTGTTTTATAGTTGAAGTATTTGAAACAAACATGGTAGAATCACCTGATGGATTTATATCCTGAAAGTAAAGTTGTTCCCCAGTCAGGCAGCCTGGTGACAAGTCTTCATACCACAGCATGTGGCTGAAAAGAATTGCTGGCTTGTTGACACATCTGTGAGAGGATGGTGCACTCCTGCTTTGTATTCAGTTGTTCGGTGTTTTTTAGGAAACTTTTGGCAAGAACTTTTCTACAGAAGCATGTCAAGATTGTGAACAAAATGATGCAGACAATGGGAGTACTATGTCTACATCTTCAAATTTTGAACCCTTTGCCACTGATGACCTTGGTAAGAATGATGTGATCTACAATGTTCTAATTGTTACTCCCTTGTTCCTAAAATGCCTGCAATTGTTTATGCTTAAATAGTATACTATTCTTTGATTTTTAGTATGTAATCACGTTTTGTAAAACAACACTTAGAGAAATTAGCCACTTGTGAAACACTTTGAGTTGATCAAAGTGTGTAATAAAATATTATAACTCAATTACAGTTATATGCAGATTTCAAAACTTGTGGCTTTGAATTCATTTTTATCATTGTTTACTTGTCTATGAATCGAAAACTTTTTATTTAGATTAAAAGTTGTTTTTATTCTAAATATAGGCAACACAGTGATTCACTTAGATCAAGCTTTGGCTAGGATGAGGGAATATGAGCGTATGAAAATTGAAGCTGAAAGTACCCTTGACTCTGAGGGATGCTCTAGTAATTTTCAGGGTGCTTCTGCTGCTAAATTAGAAGGTATGCACATATACACATATTTTGCCTAGTTTTAGAAAATAATTATTCTAAATATCAAGAGTCATTTAATTGGCTGACTTGTTTTCCTCTTCATTTATATTGAAAACTTAGCAAAGTTTCAGAGCATCTTTACATACTTAAGTAAATATGATTTGTTTTAAAAAAAGGAAGATATATGGGTTTGAAATTGGTATTTCCTTAGTAGTAATGTTGAATGACTTAAATGTTTTGTTTGTTTTTTTTAAATGAGGTCCAAGTACTAGTGAATGTCTTCCTGTGCCACAGTCAAATGAAGTTTCTGCTGTTCCATGTCCTCGTATAGATACTCAGCAGCTTGACCGGCAGATTAAAGCAATTATGAAAGAGGTCATTCCTTTTCTGAAGGTAAGAACTCTTTTCAGTAATGTGTGAATTAGGAGAATAGGTATAATTGCATAGAAGAACATTATTTTGAAAGGATAACTCACATTTTAGCAATAGCTGCCAATAAATATGTAAGTTGCAGACCTTGCTGAGAATGAAGTAAGGATTAAATACTCCAACAGAAAGATTCTGTGGAGCTTTTAATAGGAGAGAGAAACGGTAAGGTTTTAGATTGCATAGGGCTGGTGGACTTGACATCAAGAAGAACAGAGATTTCTTTGTTTGGAGCTGACCAAATCAAATAAAAATGTTTGAGAATGTACTTATGAAATTTGCTGCCTTTCAGCAGAGAGAACTGAGATAGTTTTGATTAAAACTGTTTACGTGCAGTGTAACTTGAGATATTTTTGAAGAGTAGCTCTGTGGGTTGTTGATTTTTAGTGTTGTTTTCTCCTGTTTACAATTATCTTTAAAGTTGTTGAGAGCTTGTAAACTTCTGTGAATACAGAGGAGAAATGTACTACTTTAAAGAAGGAGAAATAGTCACAGTTCATTCTTGGCAAGGTTAAAGAGCAGAGAAGATTGAGTTGTAAGATGCTTAAGTCATCTCCCTGTTCCCTTTTATAGTATTCCCAGTATGTAAGCTTAGGTTTGTTTAATAAGGTACTTGGCTAATAATAGTTTTAAAAACTGTGTATATTGATATGACACAGTCTCAGTGCCTGAAGACTTCTGTTTTGTTTGCAGTTTTAAGGAAGCTTACAACAGTAGATATCAACATACAGTTTAATACACTTGAGTACACAACCACAATGTATGAAGATTTTTATTTTGTCCAAATGTTAAAAGATGGCATGTACTAATGTATTGGAAAAGTGAGGTAAAGCCATATGTGTCATGGCCAATCAGTCATGAATGAAGTATGGTATCTGCTATAACTGTGTTCCAGTTAGTTTATTTTGCTAAACGGGTTAGGACCTGTTCATGGAGTGCTGTTCCATCAGTGGACAGACGACTTCTTAATAAATAAATTTCAGTATTTGAGTTGGTGTCTAATTTTTTTTAAGTGGTAACTAAGCTCATTCTGTGATACTTGTTTAGGAACACATGGATGAAGTATGCTCTTCTCAATTACTGACATCAGTAAGACGTATGGTCTTGACTCTTACACAACAAAACGATGAAAGTAAAGAATTTGTGAAGTTCTTTCACAAGCAGCTTGGCAGTATACTTCAGGTTAGTAGTTTTTCAGTGTTGGTTTGCAACACTATTGCAAGTTGGATAATGACCAACAGGTGAACCAGCTTCTCTGAAGTTGTATTTTACAACTTCAGTAGCATAGCTGCTGTTCTCCTTCAGCTTTGCTACAGCAATGAGGTGTTACCTTGTTTCCTAAAATTAAAGCTTTTATAGATTTTAAATCAGTAACTTGGTAAGTTCTGTGTTATGTGACTGGAGATCCTACTTAAAATCTGTTTAAGACACTAAACCATATTTTAAAAAAAGTACGAGCTTTTACATACCTAATAAATTTTGAGTTATTAGGAATATGACAAATATTTAGTCTTTGAAGTTTGAAAGCCTGTTTCAAAAACTGAAGAATTATTTCTCTTCACAGGATTCACTGGCGAAATTTGCTGGTAGAAAATTAAAAGATTGTGGGGAGGATCTTCTTGTGGAGATCTCTGAAGTGTTATTTAATGAATTAGCCTTTTTTAAACTCATGCAAGACTTGGACAACAACAGTATTTCTGTAAAGCAGAGATGTAAAAGAAAAATAGAAACTACTGAAGTGATACAGTCTTATGCTAAAGAGGTTTGTTTTATTATATTTTTGAAAAATGTAGCTTTTCTGAGTTCCCTAAATATCTACATTTCCTAAACTTTGATTACCTTAGTTCATATGTTGTATATGTGGTTTTTTTTAGATTAGTGCTTCATAGTCACAGTATTGCTTGTGTAGAAGCATGAACTAGTTTTCCTCAGTAAGGGAGATGTCCTGTATTATAGATCAGTGTCTGTTACAGATATCTAATTGTGTAGACTTTGTTGTTGGTAATTCAGAGGAAATGTGTTTTAATGGTTATATGTGTGCATAGGAAGGAATAGTCAAGTGTTGAAATAGTATTAACATCTGGGCCCATTAAGTAGTTGTGGTTTAACTCCAGTAAGCAGCTAAGCACCACACAGCCGCTCGTTCACTCCCCCACTGGTGGGATGAGGGAGAGAAGTAGAAGGGTAAAAGTGAGAAAACTCATGGGTTGAGATAAAGACAGTTTAACAGATAAAGCAAAAGCCGTGTGTGCAAGCAAAGCAAAACAAGGAATTTACTCACTACTTCCCATCGGCAGGGAGATGTCCAGCCATCTCCAAGAAAGCAGGGCTCCCTCATGTGTAATGGTTACTCAGGAAGACAGACCCATAAAGCTGAACGTTCCCCCCTTCCTTCTTCCTTCCTCAGCTTTATGTTGCTGAACATGATGTCATATGGTATGGAATAGCCCTTTGGTCAGTTGGGATCAGCTGTCCCAGCTGTGTCCCCTCCCAGTTTCTTGTGCACCCCCAGCCTGCTTGCTGGTGGGGTGGTGTGAGAAACAGAAAAGGCCTTGACTCTGTGTAAGCACTGCTCAGCAATAACAAAAACATCTCTGTATTACCCATACTGTTTCCAGCACAAATCCAAAACATAGCCCCATATCAGCTGTTTTGAAGAAATCTAACTCTGTCCCAGCTAAATATTTTGACATATGGGGGTCCCAGTTCATTACCTCTCCAGTTATGCCTACAGCTTTCCTTTCAGTAGCTTAGTTAGGCACCATCTTTACCTAACTTGAATAAGTCCTATGAAGTCATCAAATAGTTGGCTTGTTGGCATATGTAGGAAGTATCACTTTCTAGACTTGGGGTGTAAAATATATATATAAACTTTTCAGAAATATTTGAGACTGTAATATATATTCTCTAACAAAGCAAGTTTTGTTTGGTTTTCACGCCGTTTACATTATTAAAGACATTGCATCACCATTTTTAATTTTAGTATTGCAGTTTTTAGGAACACAGCTTTTTTTTTAGTTATATGAACTGTTTACAAAACAAGCACTAAAGCAGATCATGTTCATATACTTAAATCGGCCAAGTGTCTACCTCAGTGTTTCTTCTTGTATGTTATGATTTCAGTGTCCTTTCAGCTGTCTTTTAGAAACACGAATACCAAAGCAAACCCTTAACTCATTCGTATTTTAAAATGTCAGTGGAAGATATTTTATGATTCTATCATAAACTATGAAGTCCTATAAGTAGTTTTAAGCATATCATCAGCTACGTTTCAAGATAGTTCAACTTAAATATACCAGTAATATGGCTAGTGTGAGAGAGACTGCGGAGTGCCTTGTAAAGAGGCCAAAGAAACACTGAATCCAGAAGGATTTGGACATGACTTCCTATTTTATCTGAAGTTGCTCAGTGGGTCTTTGTTACGTAAAGGATTGGTTTATACACTGCTGTGAGAATGCATGGAGCCAACTTAGATCTGGCATTTCTTCTCCTCTCCTGGAAGACAGAGTTAGGGTTAAGGTTAATGTTTGCCTTGTTGCTGTGGCAGCAGTTCATATTCAACAGAGCCAGAGATGAGCCAGAACTGGTAGGTCCTGGTTACTTTGTACAGACCTGCACAATTATCCCTACGTGGTCTTCTGACAGCTTTCAGATATGGGATCCTGATGCAGGCACATCCGATCTTGCTTGATTTTGTGGCCGTCTTGAGTCCAGTAAGATAACTGGTTTTAGATTCCATGCTGAAAAACACAGCCTTCTGTCTTGACAGGAGCTGGTATATCTAATTCTATATATTAAATATGATTCAACCACAGACTGGAGAATTAGCCCATGTAAACATAATTGTTTAAATAAAAAGGGCTAGCACAGTTTTTTGTAATGTTTTGCAACTCTAAAATTTTGAAGACATCTGTGTAAACATGTCTCGTAATATAGAAGTCCCTGTGGCTTACTGCCATTTTGAGATAGCAGTTCTTGGTAAGATTGGCATTTCAGCTAGGCTTTCATGAAGCCCTGGCTTGGCTCAGTATTTCAAAGTTATTTCAGTTTAGAATTGAAGACAGTTTGTGTTTCTTCTAGGCAAAAAAGGGTCTCCAGGTGGATGTTTGTTCATCTGCTGAAGATGTCGATGAGGACAAAGTATGTTTATGCTTCTCAACTGTCTTTATTCCTCAGATAATTTCACAGATCACTTAATCTTACTGTTTTCTGCCATATAAATCCAGTATCTGTAAGCCACCTATTTCCTAATGTTTATAAATTTATTAAACATCATGGGTTTTATCTCCTTTCTGTTATTTTCAGTGATTTACTTTATCAAAGTAACAAAGTAAATTGTAATTTCCCTTTTTTAATTTGAGTTGACAGTCTGGGAAATGACTACCAAAAAAATCTGTCTTCATCAATAAGTCCTTGTTATTATCTGCATTCAGTAAACATGACTTGGTTATCAGTTCCTTGGTTGTTCTTGTTTTTATTCCTGTTTCTACTGCAGAGCCATTACCAGCATAAAGACTGATGCATTTCTTATAAAACATTATCTTGTTACCTTTCAAGAAGTGCATTCAGATCAACAAAGATAGTATTAACGATGCTTTTCTACATATTGTTGGTGACTTTTATGTAAAATGAGCTTTGCTTTAGAACTGACAGTTTAGAAGTCTAAAAAGAGCAAGGTTTATGTTGAGTGCTATGCAAGTGAAATGGAATAATTTGTGATACTTGCTGAGCAGCTTTAGGGTAGGATCTTGCTTTTCCTTTTAGTGTTCATTTTCTGTATTTTAAATTAAAAATAAGACCTATTCTGAAAGTGTTTATTGTGGGATTTGGTCTGGGTCTGTTGCCTGTATTCTCAGCGCAGAGCATTGAGAATGTAGTCATTCGTTGAAGAATTAAATAACAAGGATGGAAAATAGAGATGGCGCTTAACTATTTTTAGCAATTAACGTTTTCTTTTTTAATGGTATGGAATAAGTTGGTTTACTTTTCACCTTAAGAAGGCAGATGTTCTGAGTTGGGGCACAGGTCTTTTCCAACCTAAATGATTCCATGATTCTATGGTATTTGAGGTCCTCAAAGTCTGAGTATTAAACGTTAGCACCCAAAATTTCTCCCTTTTCTCTTTAAGTTTGTTTTGAAAACCACCTTTGTGTTTGGGGAGAGGGGTTGTATATGAAGTTCTTTATTTTCTGCTGGAACATTCAGCTTTTTCCAGCCAAAGGAAAGATATAGGTAACGTACTAAGTAGAATGTTGAACGCTTTCCTAAATGGGCATAGACATATGTGTAGGCATGTATGGGCATAGAGTCAGTGCTTTCTTCTAGGGCTTAGAGCTTCTGTCACACTGCTTTGGAAGTAAAAGTGGGAAGTTGTGTGTCACTTGTTATGGTTGCTGTAGTGTAGGAGAGTCCTTTCAAGATTTGGAGCCAAACTCAGGGCTTCAGCTGGGGTTCCTACAGACTGAGCAGAATTTTCTCACTCCAGGTATTTAGCAAATCATTCAGCAGACAAACTGCTGAGTAGCTATTGCTAAAGAAATGAGAAGCTGGAGTTAGCAATATTCCTAATTTTTACTAGAAATCATTTAGGAGAAGCAGGGAAGTTGCTAGAAGGTAATAATGCAGGTGTGTCTTTCTTCCTCTTGATAATGAGAAATCTAATTTAAAGAATTTTTCTTTTAAGCTAGAATCCTGATCAGTGTGAACCTTTTCAGATAATGAAATACTCAGTTACGATGTCCATGATAGCTGTGTCTGAACGGTGCGTGATTTCTTCTAGTAGGTTCTGATGCTCTGTTTCAGGAGTAGCTTTGCAGTATTCATTTCAAGGCCTTAAAGACTACTTAAACATTAATTTTTAGTCTGTAGATTTTTTTTGGTTTTGAGAAACAAAGGTGACTCCTTGATGCAGAAACCATAACTTAATCTTTAGATAAACAAACATGAAATTGCACAGCATTCCTTGTTTTCCTAGGACAAGGATGAGACTGAAACTATTAAACAAGTACAGGACCTGGAAATATATGATGGTAATGGAGTGCCTGAAAGCATTAGGTCTGATGCATCTGATCAAGAGGAAGATGAGGAAAGTGAAAGTGGTCCAGTGGCAATAAGTAAGTGGTTTTTTATATAGCTCATTATTCAATTATTCAATGCTTTCACTGTAGTTTTGACAAACTAATTTCACAACAGGATTTGCGTGACGTACTGCTATGTAACAGCTTCTCTCACAGATTTTCTAGTCAGGTCTTTTCCAGTGAAAGTTTCCCAGTATTGTATTTACTATTGTGTCAAGGGTTAAACATTTCAAACATTCCAATTAGAGGAGCTTTTTCTCTTTGTAATCAGTAGATCTGTAAAAACATGTTAGAATCAGATTCATTGTTTGAGTTACATATGCTGTCTCAGCTAAACTTGAACTTTTCTCAACCTTTAACCCAAATGATGTGAAAGCTGCTGAAATTGTATGCCGTTTTTAATTTAAATGATGATTTTTTTTTAATATGCTTCTACTTAAGCTTGCATATTTTTTAATAATTTTTTGTCCTGTTTGTCATCTTACACCAGCTACTCATGGCTTGTTTTCCCTTATATTTACATTCTTTACACCAACTTATTAAATAACTTAGATATTTCATACCAACACGGTGATGTTTGTTCGTAATATAGCTTATGTGGAGCGTATGAATCTTTGAAAGTTAAGTCATCACTGTGTCTTAATTTCAATTTTTGAAGTAAGAGTTATAACTGATCATTGCAGTAAATTCCCAAAAGGGATTTGGATTTTGCAGCCTGACTTTTACTCTGTCAGGCTCTGTCAATGTGTAAATCCAATATGAAGATGGTTTTACATTGATTTGCCTTCAGGTTTATCAAAAGCAGAAACCCAAGCTCTGACTAACTATGGCAGTGGAGAAGATGAGAATGAAGATGAAGAAATAGAATTTGAGGAAGGACCTGTTGATGTGCAGACATCACTACAAGCCAGCAGTGAAACAACTACTGAAAATGAACAGGTATCACCAAAGTTGTAAATGCAGAAAAAACCTAAGCCAGAGCGCAGCTTTTCAGTACATATTTGTATGTACCTCATTTTTTTCTTGTTGTACTGTTTTCATGCTAATGGAAGTAGGAGAATGATACAAGAAATTATATGAAAGCAATAGCTGCTACATACAAAATGTAGCGTTCCCCACCTCAATTTTTTATTGGTATAGCTGGCGCCAAAATGGATGGATGGACACAGGCAAAACTGATGTTTAAATCTGCTATCAGAGAGCGAAAATGTTAAGCTGCAATAGAAAAGATAAACTTTCAAAAAAGCATCATGTTTTAAAGTGCTAACTGGTTCTTCCTCTGTGTTTGCTGACATCAAGTTGTAATTGGGCTTTCCTTTGCAGAAGCCATTGGCTCTTGTATTCTAGCATACCTTTGATTTGTCTTTCTTCTTTATCATATAATAACTTTTTCTAGAACAATGGGGAAATGTTATTGGCTGCTATTGTCATTTCACTGTTAGTTTCTTTAAAAACATTTGGATGTGCATGACCTGGTTCTGGAGACGTGTCAGTTCTTTACATTTCAGTAAATAAGATTGACTATAGAATCTTCTGAAACTTTGGTTTACTCAACAGCTATTAACATTAGGCAAGGAGGTAACTGGAACATTTTGCTTTAAAGGCTAAAACAGTAGATCTTTCCAGTAGAATCAAAGAGTTTACCTGGGAACTACTATAGCAAAAAGAAAATGAAATGTTCAGATAAAACACATGTATCAGTGTTAATAGTTTCTTAAAGTGTTGTTGACTAGCTGGTGATTAGAGAGTAGAACTTGCTGTCTTTATTTCAAATTAGTGAAAAGACAAAAACATGGAGCAAGTGTACAGGGTGTTTCCAGTTAGCAACGAAGAGTAAGTTAGCCAATAAGCTATGAAGCTGATTAGTAGAATTTGTTCTAACTCGTTTTCACCTTCCCCAACAGACTTCAAACCAAGAACTGAGTAAGGCAAAAAGCAGTGAGATTTTGTCATCAGAACAAGAATCTGTTAAAGGTAAGCCCCGTATGCAGTAACTGAGAGATTAACAGTTCTATATGAATTTGCATACTGTGAGAATTATCTTGGACAGTGCTTCTGATCTATGTAATTGAGAGGAAGATGACCAAATTTGCAAGAATTTACTGGGCTGTTTTTTTCATGGAAGTGTATCAGTTGACTAGATAAATCTGTGTTGATACAGACACAGCAAACCTTTTAAAGAGGAGACCTGGAATAATCTTACCTAGGGAAATGTGGTTTTGATGCTTGACAGTAGCGTGAATTTCAGTTGATTGTTGCAGCCCTTGGCACACAACTGTAGCAGAGTTAATTTTTTTGTTACAGTATTTTGATGTTTAGATTTGTCTAGTACTTGCTTTTTCTGCTATTACCATTTACTAGCAATTGAAATCACTTTATATTTTAAAGATTTATTTCTCTGAGTAATGCGGTGTTGTTACTGATTAAGAACTGAGAAAACATTTTCTGTCAAAAGACAGAAACACTACTGGGTGGTATGAACGTTACTTCTAATCTAACTCATGTTCCCACCTTCTTTTCCTGTGTTTTTCTGTTGCAAATAGAGGTTTTGTTCTTTGTCTTTTTTTGTAGACTAAAAGCAGTATTTGAGTAGATCCTGTGTTGCAACAAGAATGTGGCAAAACGTTAAGGAATTTATTGTTCTGTATTATATCTCCTTATACCTAGAATGAATATTTTACAGTAGGTCATATAGTTCTGGAAGTTTTTGGTGTGGTTTTTTTCTTTATTTATTTTTAAAAAAAGCTGTATCTAGTCAGAAGTCTTTGTCACATACTGTCTTGTGATAATTGCTGATACTGAAGTGTGAGTGTACAAATAACTGATGTTTTATTGCAGTCAGCTTTGTGTTGATCTGCGAGACTATAATTCACTTTCATTTCTCATTTGTAGCTTTGGATCATAATTTGTAAAAATAATAATCTGGGATTTCTGTATGCCTAGTATCTTTTACTATCTCTACCTAGTTAAAATGCAGTTTTGTGGTTTTAGGTGAACAAGATGTGGCTATGATTTTGCCTCATTACCTCAATGTCATGGAGAATACAGCACCTTTAACAGTCAATACCCCCGAATCCTTTATAACAGCCAATATGAAAACAGAAGAATCAAGCTCATCTTTACCAGTAAATGAAACTCAAACACTAGATACAACGTGTGTAGGAAACAAATCTGCTGCAAGTTCTGAAAGCTCCATGGCTGGCAGCCCCGATACGGAGTCACCAGTGTTAGTGAATGAATATGTGCGTATATTTCAGTTAAGATGCATCTAAGAAAAGTGAGAAGCTTTTTTCCTATTTCAGTGTTATTTCTGGTTTAGTCTTGTTCAGTTTGCATCTGCAAATTTGGTATGGGCATTGTTTTTTGATGTACTTTATTATAATAGTCAAAAATCTAGTGGAGTAAAAATAAAACAAAGTAGCACCGTTCCCTTAAATGTCACTATTTTTATTAACAGGAAGCCGGTTCTGGAAATGTAAGTCAAAAATCTGATGAAGATGACTTTGTGAAAGTTGAAGACTTGCCCCTTAAACTTGCAGTATATTCAGAGGTATTTTGCTATTGTTTGCAGGGTGGTTGTTTAGAAGTGCACACCCTAAATGTCTTAATTATCTAGACAGCAATAAAAACTATCCAGAATTTTGAGTTTTGCTTTATCTGTTACAAAGGCAGATTTAATGAAGAAAATGGCAACAGAGGCCCAAACCAACCATTTGTCTGATGAATTACTGGATGGAGGTGGAGCTCAAGATCAAGAATTAGCAGGAGATGCCCAGACTTTGAAAGAACCTGGTAAAGATTATTTTCTGAATCCTCTACACCTATTGGGAAAACACTCTAGAATGGCCTAGAACTTAAATATCTTGTTATCACTGATTGAAGCAAGCAGTTATTCTGGTGCTGAAAGAATATCCTTTTTTGTTATCGTGCATTTGAAAATGATGTATTGATATGAAGGGATTTTGGCTGCCATGCCCCTTCTGTATACTTGTGTTAGATTCTGTGGCTAATAAAGTCATAAAAATTAACACATATAAAATGCATGTTATAAATTAATGGTTTTGAAACTTAATAAATTGGGATGGTATTTCTGTTTCTTGTTACACAAGCTTGAGTGTAATAATATTGTAAATTCTTATTGCTGTTATCTGATTTAATAATGCTCAATATAATTTGCTGACAGACAGCTAAGTGGTTTTGTAATGGAAAAGTTCAAGAGACTTTTCAGAATAGTAGAATATCTCTTCAGGGAAAAGAAAATTATTTTTCATAGGAAGCATACCATGAGGCAGAAAAAACTTTCAGTGTGTATGACAGCAATAAAGATTTGTCACGTTCATGAAACACTATTGATGCAGCTACAAAAGCTTAGTGGTAATGCAGGTCAAAACCTTTTTTTAATATAATGTTGACATTGTGACTCAAGTTATGGCATTAGATGCTTCTGTTCTATTGTCGGGCTTGTAGTTCTCTAGTGGAGGATGTAGTAGTGGCATATGTAAATGCATGAACTGGGTATTCTGATGGTAGTAGTTTTCTGCTAGTGTAGCTAGTTCCAATTCCTCAAACAGTATAAGCTGATGAAAATGCTTTTCTCTAATGCAGCTGTAGTGACAGCATAGGCCTTTCCAGAATAGGGTGAAGGAAGGTGCTTCTTTCCTTCCATTTCATTCACTGCCCATCCCCATTTTGCCTGTCCTAGCTCTGCTAGCAGAAGTCTGTCCTGTCAGTTTGGTGAATACTGATGCATACGCCTGGTGTGGGACCAGTGGCTAAGAATGCCATGCCACACAAAATTGGTAGCTAGCAACTAAGCCATTCTTCATCTGTGTATGGGGGATGGCTGTAGCTGTTCAAGTTAGCTGTGGCTCAAAATGCTTGTGAAAAAAGGTAAGGGTGAAATATTTCATTGAGGTCCTTTAATGGGTACTTACAAGGAGTTGAAATGTGGTCAAGAGTTGTGTTTGATGCCTTGTAGCTGTTAGACAATAATGAGTATACTTTTATTTTACAGAAACTTTTGGAGCTCAAAGTGCATGAGAATAACCTGAAGATATCTGCATTTATAAACTCCATGTATACAAATGCATATGGAAGATCAGCACTAATTTCCCAGAATTCTGGAAGTGTATAAAAATGTAAAATTTTTGACACACTGCCTCTTAGGATAGGTATGCTAACTTCTGCCTGTGGCAGTTTGAACAGCTGGAACTGAATCCTCTTCTATTCAGTTTTGCTGCACTGTATTTTTTCTGTCTTAATCTTTTCTTATTTTTTATTGTGACTCGTTTAGTCATTTTAAAATTGTAGTTTTAAATAAAGTTTGGACTTGTCTGTAAAATTGTCTTTTGAAAAATTTTCCTCTGGCTTACAAAGTGGTATGCAGAGTTTGTTGTTGGAAGTTAACTGACTTTAAGTGTTGGCATGCTTGTAGCAGTTTGTTACTCCTCTTCAGAGAAACACTGCTAACTTTCCTGGGACTAGAAACTCTGGTCCCGCTAAGTTTCTCCATCCTCTACAAATATGAGGTATAGACACAGTACATACTTACATGTTGCCTTTATAGCCTATGTATAGCTGGTCTGAAAAAAAAAAAGTTTGTGTTCAGGGCCTGTGGAATTTATTTCTATCAGCACATTTATCTGAGGTGAAGTAAATACTCTGGTTTTGTACTTAACTGCAGAAACCATCTGTATTTTTCTGCATGTTCTGTTCTGCACTTTCAATGTGCAAAGGGATAAACCTATCTGAAAATTTTAGTATTTTCACACGTAACACTAAAATTACTGCAGTTGAAAGCCTGTAGAAGTATTTGACTTTGTGAAGAATGTTCATGTAGAAAGGAAGAAATTTAGGAAATTCAAGTTAATGTTTAAAAAAAACAGTTAAAGTCAGCACCTAATGAAGTCTCGTGGCAAAGGCAGAATTAGGATTGTAGAAAAGTAGATTAGACAACTTGAACCAGAACAAAAATTTTCTTTACTCTTGCAGATCAGAGTTGCTAATAACAGTAAGTCATAAAATTGAGCTAGAAATAGCTTATTCAGCATATCTGCTGCATTATAGAGGTCTGCTTACCTTAAAGACAAGGCTTTTCTCAAAGTAGTTAAAAAGCAGTGGTCATCTTAAATTTGGGATTGTCTTCTGTTTGGGGTTAGAGTAATAATATGGCTATATGCTGTGGGAGACAGGCAAGCAACAGTGAAGCCTAAATATGCCTGAAGTTCAAATAAAATGAGAGTGCAATTCCACTGTGATTTCTTCTTTTTTTTTGTTGAGTCTCTCCAGGTTTTATGAGTGAATTTTGAAATGGCAGATGGGAGATGAGAGGTATGATTGTAAAGGCAAAAGTATATTAAAAGGTTTGAAGACAGGTTAGTTACTGCGCGGGCTTTAAACTCATGGTGATACTGCATGCAGGAAAAAAGTTTAAAATTTTGAGGACCGAGGAAAGATGTTGTGACAGAGGCAAACCTGTGAAAATGAAACAAACTGAAAGCTTTTAATCACTAACTTGACACAAGAATCATTCAGTAGACCTAAAAGAGGACATTTTCATAAAGTAGACCAAGATGATTTGTGCGTATTTGAGACAAATCTAATTTATGCGGTAAATCATTAAACTCTAAGCTCAAATATCATGAGCACACACCATTCCTGAATTCTTGCCCTGGAACAGTGTGTATGAACAGTTCATTGAAAGGGTGGGGGGATGGTTTTCTTGTCTTACTTTTTCTCTACCCTTTCTTCAGGGAATCACAGAGTGGTTGAGGTTGAGACTGCTGGAAGTCATCCTGTCCAAACCCCCTGGTCAAGCAGGGCCACGCAGAGCTGGTTGCCTAGGAGGCTTTTGATAATCTCCAACGTGGGAGCCTCTACAACCTCCCTGGGCGACCTGTGCCAGTGCTCAGTCACCCTTACAGTAAAAAAGTGTTTCCTAACAGTCAGAGGGAACCTCCTGTGTTTCAGTTTGTGCCCTTGTAGTCTGCTTTCATTATCCATTGCTCAGGTAGTAAAATTGCTGAAGAATTTAAGCTATATCTTATACTCTTAATGCCAGTCCTTCTGCTCATACATAGTTCAGTTCAAGTAGAATGTGTTTTTCAATGGTAGTAGAGAAGATCTTGCTTAAAATGATTACAGGAGAATGTGCAAACGAGAAATCTGCTTGATACATGCTTCCTTCCTTACCAATCTGGACCTAACTGAATGTTACATTGTTCTGTCCAATATCCATTCATTGCACAGTTCATCCTTTCAGAGACAGTTCCATAGAGCAATGAGTACAAAGAATTCAGATAATTATTTTTACGATGATCAGTTAAGAGGCCATAGCTAGTTCCCTTCTATGACTAACACAATTTAGTAACAGGTCTTCCCTTAGAGGGATGTTGCTGTGTAAGACCTGTCTGTTAATGTTGTGTAGTGAATGACCTAACACTAGAACACAGCGGTATGGAGTGAAACCGAATCAGTGTAGTTTGACTCACTTTCACTACTGGAAATATCTGCTAGTTCTGGGAGGAAGGTGGAATAGTTGATTTCTTACAATAGATTACAACATTGCTTTTGAAACTTTATTTTACTCAGATCATTATATCCCATTGTAACTTGAAAGGATTCCCACTCCAAAACTAGGTACAGCATTCACAAAGTCTAAGCATGAAGACAATAGAAAACCCATAGTAACTTTGGGTTGCTTTTCCTGCAGTGCTAGTATTTTGAACTGTAGTTACCTACTACAGGATTACTATCTTGCATAACAGCAAGGAGTTCAAAGGAAACTTAACCCTTCAGTGGTAAACTTTGAAGAACATAAGTGAAACCTCATAAACTGTCTTACTTCAAAAGAAGCCCTCACCCATTCTATACAGGCTTGCATATTCACACAGTAGTATTTATTCAAAGACAGACTGGAACATTTCTTGTCCTACTTTTATATAAGCTGCTCTCTCTTCATTTGTCATAAGAGACACAAGCTCTGGATTTTCACTGACTTCGCCATATGGATGAGGCTGACCGGCTACCATTAAAATAGGACCTTGCATTTCCTGTTCCTGCTCTTGTTCAAAGTTGCTGCCTGCTACTTTCATTCTTGCTCTTGAGCACTTGGCATCTTCTTCAGACTCACTAGTATCACTGCCTGATTCGGGTAGTTTGCTTTTGACAACAGGAGCCTGGTCTGTGCTAGATGATGATTTGGATTCATGGATCAGGAGAGTCTTGATGATTTCATTATCAGTGACAGTTTCTTTAACACTTTCTTCAGTTTCTTCAGAAGCATTTACTCCTAATACACAATACTAAATGTTAGAAGTGTCAATAGTTTACAGTTACCACAGGCATCCTACATAAGTGATTTTTTTCTACTCTGGATCTTTTTTACCCACACTTTAGAATTCTCTTGAAAGTGCAGGCATTTCCAAGAGCTTTCCGCTTTAAAGATTAGCACTAATGTTACTGCACACTTGGAGCCAAAAATTTCAGGACCTGGTACCTGACCTCTGGCTTAAGGAATACTACCAAAGTCAGTCTAAAGACTAGTTTTCAGAAACTAAGATGTGATAGTCACTGGTGCAGAACTGAAGCATTACTCTATCTTCTAAACCAAGCTCACTACATTTTCAATAGGAAAACTATATTTAAATGCAGTAAAGCTGCTGAAGTTAAGTATTTACCAATGCTTAAAACTTACCAACACTATTGTTGGTGGCTGTTGTTGCTCCTTCCACGGTGCTTTGTGACATCCAGACAGGTTGCTCTTTAGTTGCTTTTTCTCTTGTTTTCTTCTTGGGCTCAGAGTCTTGGACATCAATAACTAAGTTTTGGGTGTACATATTGCCAGAGGAGGAACTTCTGTTGGCCCATTTTTCAGGTCGGCTGCGGGATTCCAGCACACTTGAACCCACCTTCTGATCATAGCTGAATGAAGTGTCACCCATTTTGGACAGGTTAAATTCAAGCAAGAACCCCCCCATTCCCATTCAAAAAAAAAAAAGAAGACAAAGAAGCATGTTTTGTCAGCAGGCTAGCTTTAACAAGTGCTCTACATTAAAACAATTTTCATTCCCCATTACCTCATCTCAGAGGCAAGTGATTCTGAACCATTGATTTTTGCATGGTCTCTTCAGTAGCGCATCTCTGGATGAAGCACGCCAACAGAGAAACGTTACTTCCTCACAGAAAGGGCTATGAACATTAGCTGAAGGAGAAGTCTGGACAATGAATTACTTCTTAAAATAAAAAAGGTAACAAAAATAAAACTATGAATGCATAGCAATAATTTAGAATGCCTTAGCTATTACAGGCTTCTTCATTAAGCAGCTGACAGTACTGAACAAAGCAGAATGGAGTAGAAAGTTGGCTGCAAGTTCAGTATTTCAAAGATTTTACAACTGGGAAGTTGTTGGGGGGTTTTGTATTGATCAGAAGTTCTAGGGTTATGTTTATACCTTTCTGATAATTCTGGTATTTCTGTTGGCTGAGGCTCCAGCAAGTCATATGGCAGAAGAATATCTTCGGTTTCACGCAGTAGCACAAAGATAGGTTCAATCTGCTCATTGAATTTTGCTAGCAGGGTTCGGGCGTCACGCTTAGGGAGCGCTGAGGCATCTTCCTCTACTTCAGTGTTGCAGTAAGTGCAGCGGAAAGTCTCTGCAACATTATCCAAATTGGAAATTCTCATGTTCGTAGGATGCAAAAGATCAGTGGCACCTTGTTAAGAAATCCACGGCCTGGACAATTATGACTTCACTGAACTTCATCCACTTGTTGACATTAACTAGGGGAACCCAAGTTAAAAGGCAAGCCTTTTTTTTTTTTTTTTTTTTTTTTTTGAGAAGGACTGATATTCACACACTTGCTGTGCAAGAGACAAATGTCTATATTGGGGGGAAAAAGTTAAGTTGGCTAGGCATGGAATATCATCAGATAGTAAAGTTTGGTTTTTTTCTGCTCTGATCTCATCTTTCTAAAAAAAAGATATTTGCAAACATAAATAGCATCTGGTTTTAGTTGTGCAGAGTTCTAAAGTTCAAAAAGACTCATTTAGAGTCAAAGCATATGCTAAAAACCTATATCTATGTCTTAGGCAAAAAAGACCAAACCAAAACCAAAGCATATTCTATCAAAATATCACACCGGCCTCAAGGTTTGCACTTTCAGTAACTTGACAAAGTCCCTCCATTTAGAACAAGGGGTGATTTTTGCTAACTGCCAGTACACTAACTTCACCTCTGATATTTCAAGTTAGTCACATAAAGTTTATTCTCACTGGCTCTGGCATCCTTTGCAGGCACCATGAGCCAGATGTTAACGCAGTAGCTGCGCTTAGAGTA